TTGCGCCCAGTAGCTGCGCGGTCGGGAAAGCTGAGTGCCGTCGGGAGGATCAGCGCAGGTTGTCGGACTGCGCGACGGCGCGAGCCACCCTTGTTGCGACAGTTATACGATCGTCATCTGCACAAGCAGAACTCTAGTTTCTGCCATGACGGGAGAGTTGGTGCAACCCCTTCAGCTTTTTCAAGCTTACGTCCGGAACTGATGAACGCGTCATTCCTGAGTTCGAGCAGCTCTACTTACGCAGTTTTGTTTTACAATCGGCCCGAAAACGTCAAAGTGGACCATGCGCACCATTTCTGGTACCGCGTCATGACCTGTGACCTCGTTATCAATACTCTGCGCGGTGAAAATGTGGCGCAGCTGCGCTCCGCGTGCCTCGCGCCGTACTCTGCGTCGGCAGCAGGCGGCGGAACCGCCGAGCTGGCGAGGGCTAACTCACGACAGTACGCAGTCCCCCACGAGTCTGAGAATACATCGGTCCCCACAACAGGTGTCGCTCTGCATGCTTTCCTGCTCTGACCAAACCCACGGCGCATTGACGCAGGTCTGACGGCGTTTTGGCTGGTGGGGTCCGATTTCCGTCTGGTTCTCTTGAGCTGCTTCGACAACTAGGGCATTGCTGCTGAGATGCGAGCCTTGCGTTAGATCAGCCCTCTCGGCCCGGTGGCGATCAATGCCCAAATACGGGGGCGGCGGAACGTGCGGTCTGTGTAGCGTGGGTCGCATGGCCGCAGGTGGCGTCGCGGCAGCGCACGTGGGGCGTTACACGACAAATCGACAGATGGAGGCGCCAACATAACACTCCATATTTTTTGTTTCGCTGAAATTATCAGTGTAGGGTTGTGGCACACCCCGAATTCATATGTGCAATTTCTAGAAAGATCAAGCAACGGCTAAGGAGTTATAGCCTCGGGCATTTGGGGTCAGCTAGTAAGGACGCCTTAAAGTGTCTGTACTCCATTCAAAGTTGTCATAATTGCATACAACTATAATCGCTGAACTTGCAACGATCTAGTGGACCTTTGGACTATTTCAAAGTTTTGCTTACTCAAATTCTAAAACTGAGACCTCGTGACGAAAACCACTTGACCTTTGAGAATCTACAATGTTGTTTTTCGAAACAAATCAATTTACAGCAGTCAATTATCTGCTCCAAACGAGCTTCAGATAGTGTTTTGTCTTCTGAAATTTAATGTGCGTTATAAACCCACTATGTAGGGCTCATTTTACCCGGATGTTACGGATGTTACAAGTGACAGGCTCTAATGAGATGAAATGTCATGGAGGCTATACTCTTATGTAATGTATCGATGTGAGCTGTGCAATTCACATACGCACCCACACCATCTATTATATATATATATATATATATATATATATATATATATATATATATATATATATATATATGAGCATGGATGTATACAAATGGAAGGCATTCTAACCACAAACAAATGGTTTTGAATGAAGTCTGAATGTGTCATGAGGAGACAAATTGCCAAATGGCGTCCACAAAAATATGCTTCTACATTCATGTTAGTCACACCACACAAACGGCCACCTCCTTTGGCGCGTTACCTGCACATGCAACGAATAGCGTATCGTCATGGCTGTTTGCGATAGCATGATCCAGTGACCTGGCATGAAAGCACCATTCAACACTTCACGCAACAATGAGAAGGTGTGCCCATATGTAAGCCGACTGATGCGATGAGCAAACCCTTTCTGTCACTGTTGGGAACTTGTTAAAGCTCCGAGTGCGCTTCACCGTGACAGCTTCTGAGAAGCCCGGGCGGGGGAGATTCGCGGCGCTCGCCACCTCCTGCCCGGATACCTGGATGAACAGGATTTTGCCGACCAGTTCCTCCGATGTGGATGCGCCCCCCCCCCCCCTCCTCCCCCCTTCTCCCCCCCGCCATCAGTCTTTGGTGGGCATAGGTGCACCTGAGGCTCTCCTGTGCCGTTGCACGTTTAGCTGTGCCCCCGATGCTGGCACGGGCCTGCCTGCCGATGTGACGGACACGTCGTCCCATGAGGTAGTAAAAATGGTACTGTCAATGTCAGAGTCATGGCAACCTGAAATCAAACTCATTGGTCGCACGTACGGATAAAGCTGTATTTTGATTTGCGCGGTGTGGTACCACCATCTATGAAATAATTTGTCAGAAAGTGGGCGCTGTATTGCCAGGTTCTGGAACAAGGGACTGTATAAACGCATTAATCACACAATCCGGCTGACCTGGTGCGACTCGTAGACTAGCTTCACTTTCGTTCCGCCCGCATGAGGAATGATCAGGCCTTTCCTCTCTTTGGCGACCTCTGCTAGGCGATACCGTATGGCCGTTTTAGTTCGTGGTTCTTTCGACCATGTACATGGCTCTTTCAAAAAGTTCGGTTGTCCGATACAGCGACAAAGGCGAGAGAGTAAAAGATTGAGAACCGTCTTTTCGACCGGTGTTGTTAAGTTGACCTTTCAGCTTATCCGTTATCTGGGGCTGTCTGAACCGCAATGAATGTTCAGTCAGTAGTCGATAGCTCATACCATGATCCTCCGCTTGTAAGAAAATGGGCATCCATTCACAGAAACTGAAGTGAAGCGGTAGAAGGAATGGATAACTCATGTAAGCAGTTGTAGACATTTTTGCATCGCCAAGTTGTCATCTTCAGCCCTTATTTGCCTATTATTCGCTTGTTTCCCTCCTGATGTCGCGTGTACATTCAGTAAGGTTTACGGCGATCCTAACGCTTTTCTGAGCCATTCGGCTCCCTGTGTCGGCCTCTGCCCTTCCGTAAGGCATCCTGTAGATCCAAAGGGTAAATGATCGTATGTATTGGCCAGTGGCATTGCACTAACCATACATAAATGGGCGTTTCAAATCAGTGCTCTCACAGTCTCAGGTTTTGCTAGCCGTTTGGACTATGAACGTACAAGCTTGTTATCTACTTATTTCAATCATTATGGTAGCCAAAGGAAAAGTTGGGCTGGACTCTGCTAAGCTTTTCCGAATATGATCTTGATGCTGCTTTGGTGGTAAATTTAGCCGTTTTTTATGTACATGCATATATATATATATATAATATCTAAGATTAAAGTGCGAGAATGCTTGATAGCATCACATGGTACGAAAATGTCACGAATATGATTAAAAATCAAGTTCATGAATACTTCCTTACCCATAAATTATGCACGGCATGCTAACAACTGCAGCGATGCATAACATTACCTCGCACGTGGCTTAAGGTGAAAACCGGAACATGGGCATAACTTCATCCGCAACTTGGCGATCAAGCTGAACGATGACACTAGTGTCAGCCGAATCATATGACGAAAGAGACCCGTCTTCCGTGCTTTCGTTTTGCTGCTGAGTTCAGCATCAGCACTCGAATATGGGAATTTTTAGGGAATGCTGTGTGTACCCTCGTAATGTTTGACCCAGTTACACAAAGATGAATATCTTTAGCAAGGCGGAGATCATTTGCGTCTTTGATCAGGACATCTGAGACCGTGCTTATCTTCTTTCAATAGGCCGCTTGCGCCGATGAAACGGATCGCAATACACAAACACGCATCGCATCACTCGCCCCAATCCAACATCGGGCGAACAAGGTCTGGCGGAAAGTCGCAACACCTGAATCAGCACGGCCAGCAAGCGCAAGCCTGAGCGTCCCCAACGCGGGGACACCCTTTGTCTTTGCCCCGCCGGGTGCCAATATTTGCCTTCGCAGCCTTCTCTTTTCGAGACGTGAGGAGTGGACAAACAAACAGATCATTGACATTCCGTTTGTGAGTGGAGCACTGCTGACAACGACTCTTCTTTTACCTAATCAAAAGATCAACTTATCCAATATTTACCTATCCTTCGCAGTATCGTTGCTGGACTGCCCTTTTCCCCACCTCCTTCAACCCCGTGACACCACCATTGTCACGTAATGGGCCCTCTGAAATCAGGAACGTGAGTGTGCCTTTTTACCTCCCCTGATTGGTACCTGCATGTGTTTATTTTACCGTGAGGCGATTTCTGCTCAATTTTGTGAGGAGTCCGGATATTCCCCCCCCCCGTCCATATCCCGAAGCTTTGGCACACTTTTATGACGATAATACGATCAATGATCCATCATCTCATCGGATGACATGTTTGATGATAATGCCTTTTGCTTCAGCAGTACGCCATCTCCTAAACATATCACTGGTGCGTACGATTTAAACGATCGCGAAAACTGCCACGTATGCCTAGTTTGAAGCATTTTTTCTATTTTAAACGAAAATCACGGCGTGTTCAAAAAGCCAAAAGAGATCACGCGACTTTTTGTCACGATGTCACAACTTTTGAAATCCAGCAAACAGAAAAATGGAAACGTCTAAAAGATGCGCCTGGTCATTGCAAATACAGCGATATGTATATATTTTTAACCCTGGAGCCATTGCTCTGTCATTCTGAAAATCAGACAGCTGGCTTCAGGGTTTTAAACAATCCTCTGGAACAGTTCTCATCAAAATACAAAATATGGGTGTTATGGCCCTGTCAATTTATCATGGGATGCGCGAGGTGTGTATGTACATACGCCAAGAACTCTTAATCGTCACGCCGTGTTCAGCAGCTGAAACCATGTTCAGTTGTCCAATAGCGTTTGCATATTTTTCGTTGCGTCTGTTTGAACACTTCATTTTAAACCAAATGTGTGCAAACTTTCCTTCCAAAACGATGTGATTGTGTTCCGGATGTTTGTCGTCACTAGGCTGCTCATTTGTTCTGATATCTGATCCGACCCAAGCCTGTTTTGTATTTAATCTATTTTCGCCCAGCCGCACGACCGCCACCATTTGTGTGGAAGTCGAGATATTATCCAAGCAGCCACCGCTCTGGCGTTTTTGTGTGCGTGTTTTCATCGTCCACGGAGCCATGCCGACCAGAATCAAAGGGTGGCTGAAATATTCCAGGTTATTGGACTCGGGTCGGCTTTCTCCGGGCATTCACATCAGATTGGGCTTCCGTTTCCAGGGTGATCAGCATGGAGAAGCGGAAGGAGCAGTTGGCACAGCAGGAAGCGGCAGCGGCGGCGGCGGCCGCTGCGTCCCGGCCAGACGACGGCGACGACGACTCGAGCGCCGACGAGGCCGAGGTGGATGAGTTCCTCGACTGGCGGTCGAAGGGCGCCTGGAAGTGAGGGCTCGCCGCGCTCGCGCACCGCCGGGAGCGCCGTCGTCCCCCGCTGGACGGCTGGACACCACCATCGGCTGCGGGAACCCGCCCTCTGCGAGCGCACCACGGGTGGCGCCGCCGCCAGCGGTGGACGTGGTCTGCAGACGTCGACGTCTGCTGGCGTGACGTCTGGACGTGGTGTACAGGCGTGGTCTAGGACGTGATTGGTGCACACGATGTGCCGGCGAGGTCGGTGGGCGTGACGTGTGGTCGAGGCCTGTGAATGGCGTCTGTGATGTGGCCCGTGATGTGTTGGCACGAAGGCCGACGCTGCTGTGCAGCCTGAAGCGAACAGACGGCGTGAGTCTTCGTCGAGCGCCGTTCGGATGGCGTGATCGGCCGGGTGGCGTGATTCGTCACCATCAGGCGGTGGAGCCGTGCTGGTGCCGGCCCGACGCGGCCGTGCCGCCGCGGCAATGGCCGACGCGGGTGGCCTGACAACACCGGAATACATGTCACCGCCCGCTCTACTTGCTGTGTATCCAGTGGAGATACGGCAAACAGGCGCTGGAAACTTTAAGGTTTATTCAGAAAGCATACGCAAATACGCGAGTGATCGTACTTTAGTTGCGCTACGGTTTTCACGGTTTACAACTAGTCGACGAATGTCCGAAGTCTACGCACCTGCACTCATGCGGCAAGGTAAAGTCTTGATACCTGCCAGCATGGGCCCCCTGCATCCATTGCAGGATGCGCATGTTTGATTTAGGCAACGTGAAGACAGACAGCGCAACTACCTGGCGACCTTAAACCGATGGGACACCAGTATCGAAGGCTAAAGTCGAGAGAAATGTTTGGCGTGTCGCGCGGCACCGACCCGTCAGGGTTCAGCATGATATTGGAGCTGTTCGCGTTGAGCAAAGCGTATGCTTATGGGTGTCGCTGCGCCGGCGGGCTGTGCGTGGCGGCGGGGCGGAGGAGGAGGTCCGGTCGGGCCGGGCCGCGCTCTCTTCCGTCTGTCCGCCGGCCCGGACCGCCGCCGCGTCCAGAGCAGCCGCCCCCACGCCGGGGCCGTGTGATGCAGCCTGGCGCGCGCTGCGGCCGGGTCGCGGCGGGTCGCGGCGTCCAGCGTCGCTGCGGACACGACCCTGACCTCTTCCCCGAAGGTCAGGGTCGTGATTGGGCGGGGCGCGGCGCCGGGTCCGACGCGGGCGGACCGGGCGCCGCGCGCGCCCCGCGTCGGCGCTGACGACTCCCGGCGACGCCAACGGCCGGAGCGGACCGGCGCCTCCGCCCTGCCGGCCGAGCCTCGACCAGCGGCAGAGACGCGAGAGGCCCGCACAGAGACGGAATCGATGTGAGGTCGACATGACTATCCTACGGGTGAGCCTAATCACGCTATAAGTTTGTAACGGTAGATAAAATACGCACTCACACGCGCCTTCGTCGCAAGCGGGTAGGAAAACGGAGAGATGCATCCCACCAAAGTCGGCGCCACCAATGCTGCACGTTCGCAACAAATTATCAAGCTGATCTGCACCACACCATACACATCGACACACGTAAAGGGCGGAGAAATGAATGTAACCGCTATGTACAGGTCACAGCAGGTCGGGCGGTGTGCTGAACTAAGGAGCGGTCCGGCCCAGTATAAAACGTGGGCGGACTCGGAGGCGGCCTGCACGCGGAAGGCACCGGGACCGGCGTGCTGCCTCCTCCTAGCGTCCGTGGCCGGTCACCTCCACCTTGACGTGGTTCAGGTCGGCGCCGTCTGCCGCGCTGGTGCGTCGCTGTTCGCCTGCCGGAACGGAGGGCGCTGGTCAGCAGGCAGCCGCGCGACTGCGCCGCGCCGGTCAGCGCGGAAAGCGGGCGTGACCGCTGCTGCCGCCCGGATTGTCCGTACCCTTGGTCGCTGTTACCTTCGTTAAATCGCTGATTGGCGAGGTTACGCAAAACCCGTGATTTAAGCCACCTTATTTTAGACCAGACCACTCAAGGAGCCCGTCATTATTCCTGACCTCGACTTCCTCCGTGCACAATGCCACACGTGATCACGCGGGTGCCCGGCGGTAGTGGGCGTGAGCGTGGCGCGGCGGCGTCCTCTCAGCGCCTGGTACCGCAGGGCCGGTCGCCTCGGCGCCGTGTCAGTTCGTACCACCTGACTTCAAGCGACGGGGCGTGCTGGTGCATGGCTGGACTGCGAGCGTGCCGTGAGGGAGAGTAACGCTGCGTCACTGAGAAGGAGGTCGCGAGACTGGCGAGGGGTGGGCAACAGGGCGTGGTCCGGGTTCGGTCGTTTTATTCAATTTCCGGGCTTGGTTATTCAGGGGTTTCTAGTTTGCATCTTTAAGCGTCTCGACTCAAGCCTGGCTTCGCAGTTTGGATGCTCCCACCGGTAGTACAGACTCAGATTCTCAATCCATGTCTGGACTCCTAATCAGCAGCACCAACCAGGATCCTCGGTCGATTTCGGCACCTCTCCACCGGCGGCGCAGCGCCAGACCCTCGGGCTCGGTCTCAGCGGCTGCCCTGGTGCCGACTCGTTGCCCGGCCCGTCTCACGCCACCTCTTCTGCGGGATCTGCCTCTCTACACCAGGCCTTGCCGTCATCGGGCCGGCTATTGGCGCCTGCGCCGAGACGGATCATCTCCTGCGCCGCAGCCCAATACTGTATCCAATACCCAATGCCGTCGCGCCGTACTCAGCGCGACGGTGTGTCCCAGAGCCGCATCACATCGGAGCCTCAGCTCCGCCCGCTGGTCGCCTCAGACGGCCCAGAGACGACTTCGCCATCGGTTCCGACTCGCCGCGATGGCAGTGTCATGTGACCTGGTCCAACTAGACCTGATCCGAGGCAGCGGTGCCATGCGGCTTGGTTCGACTCGACCTGGTTGAGGTAGCGGTGCCATGTGACCCGGTCCGACCCGACCTGGCCCCAGGCAGCGGTGCCATGTGACCCGGTCCGACTCGACCTGGCCTGAGGTAGCGGTGCCATGTGACCTGGTCCAACTCGACCTGACCCGAGGTAGCGGTGCCATGTGACCTGGTCCAACTTGACCTGCCCGAGGTAACGGTGCCATGTGATCTGGTCCAACCTGGCCCGTTCGAGGTAGCGGTGCCCTGTGACCTGATTCGGCCACCCTGCCTGAGGTCTTATCGTCAACCGGAACACCTCCACGCCGTGTTTTGCAGCCAGGTCACGCTCCAGGTCTAAGCGGTGAGTGTGTCGTCAAATAGCTCAAGCGTGATTAGAGCCGGACCCTGTGGCCAGGCGGGGCCCTTTGCCCGTGGCTGTCGGCGCCTTGGGACCCGGTGTCGCCGCTCGTCGCCGACAACATTCCCGGGCTAATAGAACGGGCGGCGATGGGTCAGCTGGGAGCAATCAGACGTCCCGGCTGTCTGAGCTATCGGCCGGGGCCGACGGCGTGACCGGGCGATGGCGGCCAGATTACGGACGCTCACTCACGCCCGACACACGAGCGCGGCAGGCGCGCCGGCCGACAGACCTGCCGGTCGATTGACCTGCTCGTGCATGTCCGGCTCGCGCCCGAGAGCAGGCGCGGCGTGCAGGCTCGCGCGCCCGAGCCGAGCGCAAAGCCCAGTAGTCGATCAGGCACGCGACAGCTAACCTTTCGGGCCATGTAGCGGGTCATCAAGCCGCAGGCATTGATAACGAACGTACCAGCGAGATGGGGGATGCCGCGAAAGCATGCAGTGGAGCAACTGGACGGAAATATGTCGAAACGATTTAAGAGCAGATCAAGGAAACAACGTGATGGGTAAAGTTACTGACATTAGCAGTTATCTTCCGTTGGCACTATGCGATATATTCTAAATCTCATAAAGTTTATTGCGGACAAATAACGCGTTTGTTTTCTTGTGTTTCTACCGCAGCGCACCGAAGGATGGGGTGGTGGGTTAAACCCATGGTTTCTTTACATAAAAAAAGAAATGCTTGCATGCCTGCATGGGTGTAATCACTGAGGAGGGGGGCTGAGGGGGGCATGTTCTCACCATTTTCATAAGGTGATATTTTATTTTCTCATTTTGCCAATGCCCTGTGGGTTTTCACGTTTCCCCATTTCCAATGCCATTTTAGGGTCAAGATGTCTCCAGATTCAAGTTCGACAACTCCAATCCCGATTTATGCCAAAGGCCAGAGACGCGGTGACACCCTTGCATACCCGGATATCACCTAAGCATGTCACCCTCATGGATAACATATTGAAATCCCCGACCCCGAATGGTGCAGACAGCCCTACGGGTGGAGGACGAACCGCATCATCCATTATGCAGCCGTTAGCATTGGCACCTAGCGTGTGCCGTCCATATCAGCGACTCGCGCGAAAGAATCCAACATTTTACTGCCACTTAGCTGCACTTGGCGTCGAAAAGTCGGATCCACAAACTATATGAAAGTACAGGAGATCTTATCTGCGAAACGATAGTGATCATCTTTATCACTCTACCCCGTACACGGAGCTGAGGCCACGCGCCCAAACTCTGCCTTAGCCGTGCTAGGCACTAACTCCGAAGATGAGCACCTTCGCAACATCGGCTCATACTCGATGCAGACTACTGATCTTTTCCTCTGGATCGTCGGTGATCATCGTTGATCATTGTCTGTGACAGGTAGGGGCGGAGCGAGGAGGGGGAAGGGGGGGGGTCACAATCCGTCACGCTGCGGATGTGACACATCTCGGAATGAAGGCCCTCGCACGTGCCGGTGCAAGGTGCGTGGCATGACAGGCAGCTGGAACAGGCGGCAAGCAGGCTCAGACGTCGTGTCTGCCGTCTGCCGTGACGGCTCCAACGACTGCATGAGAGGCGGGCGGCCTGCCCGTGGCAGTCCCTGCGTTGTGACCCGTGTCAGGCGCCTCCGCGGAGGTGCCGCACGTACGCCCGTGTCCCGCCCGGTGCCGCCTGGTCCCGGTATCTGGTGCTGCCGCGACGGTGGCCCGTGCCACGTGCGGTTGTGCCACGTGCGGTAGTGCCACTCAGCTTGCCCGTCGACGGTGGCCGCGTCGCCGGCGCGGCGCCGCCGCCGCCGGGCGCGGTCACTAACTGCAGTCAAAACATGGTTGGGCTTACGGCTGGCGGCGGCACGCGGGCCGGCGGTGCACCGTTCTCGGCCTCCGCCTCGCCCTCCGGCGGGGGCGTACCGTTCTCGGCGGCCGCCTCGCCCTCGGCTCGCTGCAGGGACGTGAGACTGGGCGCACGGCTGCCACGCGAGCTATGCGAGCCGCGCGACTCGCGCAGCTGCTCCACCGGTGACTTGATCAGCGAGCCCTTCAGAAACGAGGCGTTCATGAGCCGCGGGTTGGCCGAATTCAGGATGGTCCGGTTCTGGCGGAACTGCGCTCTGAAACGCACAAGCACACGCATGTCAGCATGCAAGTCCAGCTCTTGAGACTAGAAAACGCCAATTACACCACCACTAGCCACACGGGGGGGGGGGGGGGGTGGATCGCCAGGCTTCCAGCGTGGCCGTGCGGCGGCTCTCGGACCTCAGCCTCTGAACCATCGGTGGGCTGCGATTCGCCCCAGTCGGCGGGCGTGAGTATCGAAAGGAGCGCCGGCGCCGCGGCCGACGGACCGAGCGTGAGTGGCAGGCACGCCGGCGGAGGCCGACGCCAGCCCGGTAATGGGCAGCCGCGGCTGCCGCTCCCGACGGCCGGCCGTCAGATAGCCGCCACTGGCACGTCTCGGTCGCTATCCGCCGCACAGCCGGGCTGTGACAGCCGGACGGCGGTGGCGGCCGGCCGCCCGCCTTCGAATGGTATTGGCCTCGCGCGGCACTGAAGCCCAGTGGCAGGCATTCACTACCCGTTCTTCGCTGCTGAAGGCAATTTCCTGCCCAAAGGCGGTCGGACATTGATTTGCGATCAGCGTGATTCCGTGCCAAAGTTGGATTCATAGGCATGACATTGCTGCAAAACGCCGATTTTGCTCCGTAAATCTCCATACAGTCCGCACGCGAACGTTAGGCAGTAATGAACCAGCGATAAGGCTAAAGTAGTATAAATGTTCGTTCAATTACTGATGCAGCCACCTCGGACAATGGAGCCTTCATGTCGTGTCGCTGCCGGACAGGTGCTCATCCTATGCCACGGTTAGACAGGTACATGAGACTTGTCTTTTTGGCACCGCCATGGACACCGGCCTTCTGACGAAGGTGACCGGGACGAGTGACCGCCTGATGGAGATGACCGGGACAAGTGACCTGACGGATATGGTGGGGGACAGGTGGCCTCCTGACGGAGATGATCAGGACACAGGCCATCGCTCAATGACAGTCAGGCTCTTTGATGGGAAATATTGCACGGGGAATGTCCCTGGCTAGTGGAAAATTCATCTTTGTGCACGCCAGTGAATGAAAATGGCAAGCGGCACGGAGTAAATATTTATAACGTTACGGAAATCAGTATTGTGTATATCAAATAGAGCTTCTCACGGCATATTCCGTTGATCCGAATCGGAAACCCCGTGGAAACATGGGTATAACAGACGGTTCAAACCGCCCAAATCGCATAACAAAACCCACGCAAAAAAAAATCGGCTAAAGCATGAACAAAACGGAAACATTTCCAGCCTCAGGACTACGCCCACTGGATACGGTGGGTGCGATGTGTGGTGTGAGCAAGTGCGCAATCGTTAATATCGTTCATCGATACGCAGCATATCACGCTGTCACCGAATAAAGACAAATTTTTATCCTGAACCTAAGTGCGAGCCATTCCTATATATATATATATATATATATATATATATATATATATATATATATGTACACATGCATTTACATGGCTACTAGGGATATTTGAACGTTGGTTCCTTGTAACCACTTTCCCCTCAATGTTTACCGGCATGATAAAATTAACCTGAGGGCACGCAGCCAGTCAATGTCTGGCGAAGAACAAACCACTACACACCATCAACAGCATTCAAGCAGCAGCAGCTGACCCAGCTCACAACAGTGCGTGTCACCAGACTCTCATCAGGCTTGTTTGGTTTCGTTATCCCCACCCGGTAGACGCCAATGTAAGACGAAGAAACGCAGCGTGTTGCACAGCCAACACTCACTTGCTGAACAGCCGGAGCACCACGCAGATGATGACGAACATGAGCACCAACGAGGCCAGGATACCGATCATCACCGGGTCCACCGGCGTCTTGTACTCGTCGCCGACTGTAATGTACCCCAGCGTCACCGCACGGTCGTGGTCGGGGCAGGCATGCAAGCAGCCAGCAGTTATCCCCTTACGTGCCTGCCATGTAGCATACATGAGATGACAGTGTGCTTTTGCGCCTGCCATCGGATAAAAAGCTGGGCGAGATTTAATCCGGTGCATTTTTCTGCCGCACACGTCCAATCCATTCCGCCGTGTTCCGAGTGGACTCGGGTGCTGCCGTCCATCCGGTGATGCGCGTGGAAATCAACGTGACTTGGAAAAAAAACTCCGGCCGATTCGCTGTAAACACGGCCAACTTTGGCGTCCGTGTGCGGCTCCGGACGTGAGCTGTAAATCAGCCGACTGTGCTCAAACTTGGCCGCCACCGATCCCCCGCGCCACCCTGTCAGCGGCTCGTGCCACCCCGACACTGCACTGCAGCCGCCACCGATCCCCTGCGCCGCCCTGTCAGCGGCTCGTGCCACCCCGACACTGCACGGCAGCCGCCACCGATTCCCTGCGCCGCCCCGTCAGCGGCTCGTCCCACCCCGACACTGCACTGCAGCCGCCACCGATCCCCTGCGCCACCCCGTCAGCGGCTCGTCCTAACCCGACGCGGCACTGCAGCCGCCAATGGCCAGCGATCCGGCCGGGCAGCTCACGGTGGAAATGTGCGTTGAAAAAACAACGCATCTGCTCTGAAATATTTATGCTGATGAGTCCGCTGCGACACGATATCCGGCACTAACCCTTGTTCAAGTCGAGCAAAGGACACGGAAAGCTAAACCACCAATTTCGCACGGACACACGACAAGTGCAAGGAAGCGTTCCAACTCCTTACAGCTACACGACCATGAAACGCATCGACGGCACGGCGGTAATAACACTTTACATGTCCCTCATAATCGACGTCCTGCTTCCCATATTACCAAGACATGTAAAGAGATTGTCTGAGAGCCGTTATGACCAGCAAAACAGTTCCGTTATGTATAATGTTACCTTACTCTACTGCACAGCAATGCATCGATTGCAGCCTTAAGCGACTTACATTCAGACGGCTCGTGAGGTGCAGGTAAAACGTATGCCACCACAACTGTGAGGTGGCTTTGGTGGTGGTGGTGGTAGATGCGCGGCTAACATTCATTGACGGACTAATGGTGACGGTTTTAAGGAAGCTAGGGCACTAGCTTATGCCTGGCACGGCGAAAGCCGGCCAGGTCCGCCACCAAACGAAGGCAATGTACCGTGGATAGCATGCAGGGGCCTGGTATCGAACACGCAGGACTGCAACGGAGAGAGGGGGAGCCAGAGAGAGGGGGAGAGGGAGAGGAGGGGTGAGAATAGAGAGAGAGAGGGGGGAGAGAGAGATCAATGGAGAAGAGGGGAAGAGAGAGAGAATTAGGAAGAAAGAGAGAGAGAGAAAGAAGAGAGAGAGAAACGAGAGAGAGAGAAAGAGAGAGAGAGAAAAAAAGGAGAGAGAAGAGAGTAGAGAGAGAGAGGAAGAGAGAGAGAGACAGAGAGAGAGAGAGAGAGAGAGAGAGAGAGGAGAGAAGAGAGGAGAGAGAGAGAGGAGAGAGAGAGAGAGAGAGAGAGAGAGAGAGAGAGAGGAGAGAGAGAGAGAGAGAGAGAGAGAGAGAGAGAGGAGAGAGAGAAGAGAGAGAGAGAGAGAGAGAGAGAGAGAGAGAGAGAGAGAGGGAGAGGAGAGAGAGGGAGAGAGAGGCTGGGTCTCACCTCTGTCGCCGAGAGCGCGCGGCCTGAAACAGACTAGTGGGACTCCCCCAACCAGTGATACACACCGACGCCAAAGAGGTGAGGTGCCAGCGCGGCTGAGTGGGTACGCCATTGCCGCTCCCTTCGAGGGGCTGGGGACCATACTGGTAAGTGCAGAGGAAATGAGCAGGGTAAGCGCGAGGCTTGGGCGCATCAGGACGACATCAGCTGGTGATGGGTGTCCCGCAGGGTCGCGCCGCCACTCGTCTATCGAAGGTATACAACTATGGTGCTACGCTGGTAACACCCGCTCAGACTGGGCTTTGGTAGTCCTCGGTAGACAATACCGTGATGAATGGAGGCGAGAATGGGCTCGGCGATGGCTCCCACCGGCCTTCTTCCTTCATACTCTGGCAAATCCAGTGTCATACGATCAGATGGACTAACATTTACTTTTTCGCTAACCTTTCAGTAAGGAGTAAGCCTTAATGGCCGTTTACGTGCGTTATGGTTTGAAATGATCTGAAGAGCGCGCACAGCAGTGCGATGTCATCACCAGATATGATACCACACCCTTCAGAAGTGGGCGTAATTACGCCTACGTAGAGGGAGACCGTACGTCGAGAACAAGCGGGCAATGGCGGCGTTTTCGTCGGCCCATACATGAAAATATCTTACCGCGATACAAAGCGCAGCTGTAGCTGCTGCCCCGAGTGTCAGGGCATAATCACACGCCATTTGTGCTGCTTAAAAAAGGCAGTACATTATGTGTTTGGAATGATGAATGTCTCAAGTTGGCCTTAAAACAGCTGAATGAGGAAGAAATAAAGGGTCTTTTTGACACACCAAGAACAAGAAGGTGCGTCAGGCTATTTGTCGAGCTTAGTCGACACCGCCATCGCCGAACCGAAAAAGCTTATAGTTTCTCAGTGCTCCATTAACAGTGGCTTTAGCGCCATTGCTCCAGTTGAGACTTCATTCTTCATTTGCGAATTTCCTGCCCCTCCCGTGCCTTCATTAAAATTTCACCGGTCCTCGGGCGTCGAAAGGCTCTTCAGCGCGTCGTCGCGGTGCCGTGCTCTCGCTGCGGCCCGGTTCCGCGGGTCGGGCCGCGGTGGGCGCGGCCTGATCGATGGCCCCGCTGGTATGACCCGAGGAGCGCTCGCCGGCCGCCGCTGACGGGGTCGACATCGGTCTGGGCGAGCGCGGGGGACGCGGGTGGCACGCTTACCGTGTGCGGCGCGCAGCAGGCAGGACGTCGTGTCGTCGGTGTACGTGTGGATGTAGTACTTGACGTCACATGTGCACACGCCGCGCACGCACTGCGAGTGCGATTCCTCAGGCCGGCACTGGCTCGAGATGGTGCAGCTCTCGTTCACCCACGCGGCTGGAACATATCCGTCACGGCTGAACTCGCCATGTTTGACCTCTGAAAAAGGCAGAGCTTGACCTCCGTCCGCGCGGCAGAGCCGGTAATGGACTGGGTAGAACCACTGGATTGGGATTCATCATTAGGTTCGACTGGTCTGTATCCGAAAAGCCAAAATGATTTTGCTCAGGAACGGTCAAAGAGATCAGGATTGGGTGAGAAAACAACAGATGAGCGCTGCAAGTTATTTGGAGCATATTGAAGAAGGTCAGGCCTATTTTTGGGTGCGGCACAGGATTGAAATGTTGGCGATTGCTGGGTGGTTGTGATGGGAAATACTTTACTGGGACTGATCCGACCGGATTCAATTCACAGTCCGTGAGAAGAGGATTGCTGGGTGGATTGGGCTTTTAAATTTTGGACTGGGTTGGACTGGATGCCCAACAGCCATCACCCGTAACACTACTATCCGGTCTGATGACCGTACTGATAACTGACTGGGAATGCGCGAATCTGGAACGATACGACGTAGCTGTTAGAATGGCGACAAAGATACGACAGAATGCGGTCACTCACACACTACCTCCATCTCTCGAAGCTGAGGTGTTTCATTCTTGTTCCAGCGATGGACTCAAGGGCCCTTACATGCCAGAAGACATTTGACCTTCTTACAAGTCCGTTGGGGATACCATGACCTATAGCTTGACATGAATTCTTTAAAGTACTTTGACCATGTGTCGAACTGTCTCAGGCCTGCCCGATCTCTCTCCTGGACACGTGAGCTCAGCATGTCATTTGTAATGTGGCGTATGGCAGTCGTGCGCGTGGCACTGGTCCGTCCAGCCGACTTCACCTCATTGGAGTCTAAGAGCCGCCTCTGAGCTCGCGGCACCCCTGCTGACCTCTGTTGGCTGAGTTGTTCAGAACATATGATCGACTCGAGATGGCTTGATTGCTGGGTTTTCTGACTGATAGTGCCAAATCTGTCACCTGTGATCGCTGCCGGCTAAAAGTCAGCTCTGCGTTGAATCTCCGTTGGCTTGTACCGCACGACTTGGGTACACGACGGCGCAGCCTATACGCCAGGATGCTGCTCAATACATGAACAGGAGAGCATCTCTGTTGCGCAAATGCAATACGTTCAAGAGAACCATGAAATGGAATAACGTAGATTGAGGATAAAATGGTATGCTCTGCTACAGCAGCACATGCTGTTCTAGTGTCACTGTATTTCCATCAAACTGTTCACAAAAAGAAACACTTCATGTACATGAGAGCTTGTCCGATATATTGATGTCAGAGGCCTTCTCAATCTTACCGGTTTGATTTCCGTTCCGAAATGTACCCACAGGTTTACACGCAAGTGCTCCCATTTAGGTTAAGTTCACGCTCACCTGCTTTACATCCTTAACGTGTCTCATCGAACCGTCACCCACCCGCTTAAAGTACATCAACCAGACTTAAGCCACAGTGTCGCATCAGTAACCTACCCTTTTCTAACATAACACATAATTTTGTCCGCTTCCCCACCCCCGTTGATCTACCGTTCTATTGTTACCTAGAATATCATCTCACTGATTCACTCCTCCCAGTACAAGTTGCTGGATGCGTTGCATGAATGTTTTTTGGGTTCTGCGCACCAGCCAAGCAAAGCTCGTTGCCTGTGCCCTGAGCGCCCCACCCAACCAGCCGGTCCAGTGCATCGGACAGCAGTCTCTTGCCGGGAGAATTTGCGAGATGCTGTGCAGAGCTGCGCCCCGGCCACCCGGATCGAACTGACCCTCATTGGCAGGGTACCACCGTGGCAATGGTACGGCTCTGATACAGTTCGGCGTCGCGGCCTGATTGGAGTGGCGCGCGATCCGACGGCCATTCTTTTACCGTCGGAGCGATTGACGTAGACAATTTGGAGCACCATCAAACACCAAACTAATTAGCCAACCTAATTGCGTGGACTGTTCGGCGGAATGGCCTAATACGTTTTCCAATTTGAAATGTGTCGAACAAATTTATTGTTGCGCCGTTAATGCATACAATCTTTACATAGGTTTCGTCGTTCATGCGTGTGGGTTCAGGCATGGGGTTCACACATTCAGGCGGGGTATCGCATGTCTTTGGAAGCTAAGTGCCCCACAGCGAGCGGTTTGCATCAAAAATAAAAGCGCCCACTTATCTGTTCAAGAACTGGTCAACCTCTGATGAATGCTATACGATCCACAACTGCCTATATTTTAGTAATTTTATGGATCTGTGCAATTTGGCCGCTCCATCATTGCCCTTAACAATTGCCCGAATGTAATTTTTCTAGAAACAACGCGTGCTTTAAAGCGAATAAATGCAATAAAGATTAGGACGATTATTCCAAGTTACAAGCTATCCCCACGCTGACGGGCTCAATTTTGTCTGAAGTTGAGCACGCTGAAGTCCAATTGTCAGCAGTAATGACGTCATCCGCACACTGTTCGCTTTGGAAGAGGAAGATTCATTATTCCAGGTTGAACATAGACACGAAATAGACGCAGTATAGAAAAACGAGTACATTTTTTTGTCGCATTAGCCTAGAAGAATTGATGAAATGACGTAAATTTAGACGTGAAATCCGGCATATTTAAGGTCATACGAATTTTGGGACTCTTTTCTCATTACCATGTGTCACTTTAGATATTGGTCTCAAAATGCATCCCGCTGTCGTCAACACTGCTAACAGCGGATCTGACAACATTGCAGCCACCAAGAACGGCACCTAAGCTGTCCCCATTACCACGTTTGAGAGCTGGGTAACAGCGATGGATTTCTGGTAGTAGTGCAAGTGCACCCTATGCACCAGACGAGAAGTCTCTAACCACAAAGTTAGGCGCACTGCAGCGCCGAGGCCTCAACGCTTCTGAGGCGCATGCTATCCACCACATGCGCTTGCATTGAGCGATGTCAAGTAAACCATCGAAGCAATCCTTATAAGCTTGTTTATCCCTATGAGTTTGAACCAGTGCGTCGGCCAGCCAGCACATGCCAGCATCGACTTTAACAAGTCGCTTGCTGCAGTCCTGCGTTATCTGACTGAAATCACTGCACTCATTTGTCGTAAGGTCATCACACTAAATGCAACAAACCGCTCTGTCTTTTGGGGCGTCTCGTACAGCGGCATGCGTGAATGCCTGGTTATGGTTGCACGCACCGGGACGCTCATTTCCCTCCCCGTCGGTGGGATTGACATGGCCAATTTGGATCGAATCAGGCACCGAATTAATTTAACAACAAAGTTGTCCGGATTACGTGTTGGAACTGTGTCATGCATTTTCCAATTGACCTAATCTGAGCAGGCTATTAGTCACATTAGGGGAGAGCCAATTACCGTTGACCGAGTGAGGTGATTTGACAATGCTACTTAGCGCGCGCACGAAATGCTATGGTAATGCATGAAACGTACTGGGTATATAGCGGGCCAATTCACGTCATATGCGAACAGCTCATCAGGAAACAGCAACAGCGGGGAGGGAGGGTGCATAACGCAACCCTACACGTATTTCTCAACTGCACCCGCAGGGGCCCGTGTCAAGGACAGCGCCGTGCGAGGGGCTCGTGTCAAGGACAGCACCGTGCAGGGGCCCGTGTCAAGGACAGCGCCGTGCAGGGGCCCGTGTCGAGGACAACGCCGTGCAGGGGACCCGCGTCAAGGACGGCAGCGTGCGGGGGGCCCGTGTCGAAGACGGCGCCGCGCAGGGGATCGCGTCGAGGACAGCGCCGTGCGGGGGGCCCGTGTCGAGGACAGCACTGTGCGGGGGGCCCGTGTCGAGGACAGCACCGTGCGGGGGGCCCGTGTCGAAGACGGCGCCGCTCATGGGGCCGCGTCGAGGACAGCGCCGTGCGGGGGCCCGTGTCGAGGACAGCACTGTGCGGGGGGCCGCGTCGAGGACAGCGCCGTGCAGGGGCCCGTGTCGAAGACGGCGCCGCTCATGGGGCCGCGTCGAGGACAGCGCCGTGCAGGGGCCCGTGTCGAGGACAGCACCTTACGGGGGGCTCGCGTTGAAGATAACGCCGTGCAGGGGCCCGTGTCGAGGACAGCACCGTGCGGGGGCCGTGTCGAGGACAGCACCGTGCGGGGGGCCCGTGTCAGGGACCAGCAACCGATGCGTGGGGGCCCGTATCGAGGACAGCGGCGCGCAGGGGCCGTGTCGAGGAGAACACCGTGCGGGGGGCCCGTCTCGAGGACAGTACCGTGCAGGGGCCCGTGTCGAGGACAGCACCGTGCGGGGGGCCGTGTCGAGGACAGCACCGTGCGGGGGGCCCGTGTCGAGGACAGCACCGTGCGGGGGGCCCGTATCGAGGACAGCGGCGCGCAGGGGCCGTGTCGAGGACAGCGGCGCCCAGGGGCCGTGTCGAGGAGGGCACCGTGCAGGGGCCCGTGTCGAGGGCAGCACCGTGCCGGGGCCGTGTCGAGGACAGTACCGTGTCGGGGCCGTGTCGAGGGCTAGCACCCGTGCAGGGGCCCTTGTCCGAGGACAGAACCGTGCGGGACCGTGTCGAGCAGCACCGTGCCGGGGCCGTGTCGAGGACAGCACCGTGCAGGGGCCGTGTCGAGGACAGCACCGTGCAGGGCCGTGTCGAGGACAGCACCGTGCCGGGGCCGTGTCGAGGACAGCACCGTGCAGGCGAGGCAGCACCGTCCGGTCGTGTCGAGGACAGCACCGTGCAGGGGCCGTGTCGAGGAGAGCACCGTGCAGGGGCCCGTGTCGAGGACAGCACCGTGCTGGGGCCCGTGCCGATGATTCGCCGAGGCGGTAATGAGTCACCCCGCAGCAGGGACAACCTGCCGACGGCCAGCCACCTCCGGGGTCATGGTGACGGGCAGTGCGTTCACCTGGCGGATGGACACCAGGCAGCGGGGGTCCGAGTATGACCATCAGAGTCATACAGCAGCCACGGCAGCTCATCCTGCACCGGGGCGGACAGCAACAGCGGTTGATTCAAACCTAGTCGCGCCCGGCTTGGGACCTACCCTAGTCACCTGCATTCGCAATATATAAATACGATTTTTGAGGCGTTCGCCCGCTTTCAGGCTCACCTCGCATCGATTACGCGGCGTGCACCTGCGCACCTGACACCTGGTGAAGATTGTCATCGCGCTACCTATGTGCGTGCCCTGGTGTCCATCAAAGAGCATTTCCCAGTTCCCACATGAACAAATGCACGAAAGCGCGCGGATCACGCTGACCTGCGATACACACGATACGCATAATGTTTCTACGGATCGAGTTCCTCGTGGAGTTACGAGCCAGCTCAACATGCGGTAGTAGTAGTAATCTTGGCCCTGGGTCGATCCAGGGCCTAGATTTGACCTGGTTCTATCAGGCTGAGTGTTACGGCCATCTTGTACCTATGTGTGGAAGTGTACGGGCTAAGGATGTTAATATTGTTAATATGCACGTTGATGATGTTAATAAAAACGTCATAAACGTTTATACGCGAAAAGCTGCATGAATGTGATGCTTGGGTCAACAGAGCACGAAATACTAAACACCTTAAGTAGAGTGAGTCAGAGCTGATTCACCTAGACCATATCGACATTCAGTTCTTCGAAGTCGCATGAAGCTTAATAATTGATCTGACGGCGATACGACGTAACACTAGTCGCGGTCCTACCACGCACCCTGCCGACCGGTGGGGTGCTCTGTCACTGAGTAAACGCACCACATGCCTCGATGCCGCACGAGTGGATGGCGTGTTTCGCCCCCTCCCCTGCCGTGGCTGATCGGTGACTAACGTGAGCCCCCCGGGTCCTGCGGTCACGCGCGTCGACATCCTGTGTCATCAAGTGCGGCGAGCGTGTCGGGTGTCATCCTCACCGACCGACGGCGCCCTCCCGCCGCCGGCCTGGGGCGCCCGGTCAACGCCAGGAAGGCGCAGTCAGGGCGGCTCCGACGGGCTCAGACCGGCCCGGCGACGACGCGCTTGGAACACCAGCTTCTCACCATGTCATTAGAATGGTCCGATGGAGGTGTCAACAAGTTATTAACGTGATCAACGGGGATGTCAGCAGGTCGTTATGTTCGATTAGTATGGCCGAGAGAGGCGGCACTAAGTGGTAAACGTCCCAATGAGATGTTAGTATGGTCGCCGCGCGAGTCAACATGCCGTGAAAGGCACCTTGAGTGCGACCGAACAGTGGGTGTTTCCGGTGTGCTAGACGTCACAATGAGGCAGAGAATGTCGACTCTCGAGTCACGCGCTGCACTCGGCCAGCGGCTCTTCAGACGGGTTCTGAGCCCGCTACTAGACGCCTGATGTGCTAGACATGCTGAGCTGGTTTTAGCTGACGGAGACGAAGCTGGTAATCTTGTGCTGCTTAGATATTCGGGAGCAGAGAAAAAGGACATATTTGTGACGGGGAATAAGGGAGTATAAATTGGGCAGATATCGTGGAACAACGCTGATCAAGTCTCTCATTGATAGAATAATCCATACAAGACAGAACAATTGTGTGAACAATTTCGTTTGATCCAGGTGTCAGGATTAGATTCCAAAGTCGGCAGCATCTCAACCGTAAGTTATTACAGAAAGAGAGGCTGCAAGGTTCTCTCGTGTGTCTCTTACCGGAGTGGTAGGTTTATTAACTATGACTATGTGTTGGTAGCATGAATGAATGCGCGTTTTATATCGCAGTCCCCACTCCTTCTGATGCGATTGTCACTGGTAATTAATATTCCGGGCTCTAATTCGTCTTGCTCCTCTATGTCTCCCGCAGCTGTTTTTAACTAGCCTGCAGCTTCAGCGGATTACACGTCCCGCAAAACATTCGCGATAATTTGTCAGACGTCTGGAGGTATGGACTGCACGGGGCGATAAGCATTTTCCAGTAACTTAAATTCGTGCCGGCGACAGATATTACCATGCCCGAGATTGGGATCAAATATGCTCCATGTGTGGGTAAAATTAGCACAGCAGAGCAAAAAATTCATCAATTTACGTGACTATTATATCAACAACTTTGCTAAAACTAGCCCCCCGGCACAAGCAGCCACACTTGCGATTGCATCTTCCTTCCACTACCCTGTGCCTTCGGCTGTTAGATCTGGCAGTGGTTCTGTTTACTCTCACAGCAAGGATGTTGATTTCTCTGCCCGCGCGTCGCCGAACCGCCGAGGCCGCCGCCCCACCCCCACCGCACCGCACACACACACGCGCGTCCGAGCGGCGCCGTGACGGCAAGCAAGGCGGCTGCTCAGAGTCGCCGCACGCTCGCGCCACAACTGACGCCGCCGGGCCGGATCGCCGGAGATCTGAGGACTCAACTCCGCGCCCCCCCCCCCCCCCCCCTCCCACCTCTTCCCTTCCCCGAGACAGGCTGGGACGGACGCGGTGTGAGCCTGCATTAGACGCAGCCCTGGCCAGCGGAGCCATTGAAGTGCCGTGATCTCCAGACGGATCAACACACACGGCTGAATCAGGGGGCGTGCGTCTGTGCGCACGTAAATACAAACAGGTGGGTCCAAGTCGACAGCACGCTAAGCGTGTGGTAGACGATCGAATTAAGCCGCTTACCTCGCAATCATCACAATCTGTCGCGCTGGTTGTCGTGTGCTGATTGTGGAGACCTTTATATGAGTGGAAAACCGGCTGTCAGTCACAAATCGCATGTGTTCATGTCACTGTACCAAGGTGTACCGGCCCTAAGCTAAGCCCACTGGAGTAGAGGCATAGAGATGGGGTAACACTGATTGTGCAGAATGCTATTTTCTTTCGTATGCCGGCAATTATTGCTCCATAATCGGCGGAAGCGTCGCATGAGCAATGTCATCGTCGACGAGCACAGTAGTTAAATATCTATTTCATCGATTCTGTGGTCCAGCAGGCCATGGCAATAGAACAACACCAGAACTCCCCTGAATTCCATTTTAGTAAGGGGATACCATTTTCCCACCAATTCTAAATTTAATTAATTAGCAAATCCACCTTTTACAAGTCATTGTAAATCTGATCCGGGTCATTCTCTGAGAGTAAAAACATTTGCGGTTATTACCAATACCAATAGATTTCGGCCGGCTACATAAAGGCACTACCAATTATAGGAAAAATGGGTACAAGTACAAGCATTTAAAGTCGCGTTACCCTACTCGGTCCAGTCTGATCTATTCATCTTCCCAGATTGAAGAGCCCAATTTACTTCCAATCAGTTCCGCTTTGATGTTCCGCAATCCAGCCTAGTCCCATTAATCAATTGATTATGAATCCTTTTGTTCATTCAATCTGTGAAGGGCTCTACGTGGTACACAACACAACAAATCGATGAGCTGTGCAATCGGTTGAAAGGGTCACACACACAAGGCCTGTCGCTTATGAGCGCGTCAAAAATTAGCAAAGCAAAACAAACCTGAAAGTACTCTGGCATCGTCTGGCCTGGCACCAAATCATGAGTCATATTCCCACACCGAACGCTGTTTCATTTCGAAAGAATCCTTGACGCAATGGCGTACTTTGCGTCGTTGGAATAATGTCGCAACTATGACGTCATCTTCTCCGTAATCTACATTTGTTGACACAACTGGTTTTCCCAACGTGATTTCCCTTCCTAATAAGAACTGTAGCCTGCCACTGGGGAATTCCTCAACACGCCTGCCTAGGCACTAACCCACTTATGCGCTTATTAAGAGCCCATTACTGCAAAGTTGGGCTGCCCGTTTCTGGAATGCCAGCAGCCGGTGTTGACCTCGATCACCAGTGCTGTGGGTTTGACACAACATTGGGAAACTGCAGAAGGTTAGCCTTCAACTAGTGTCACGGACCGCTTGGATCGGAAAACCTACCCGGCATCAACCCTCTATACCACAGGCTGTGTGACTGCTGGGGAACAAAGCCAGTGCCGGTCGTTGGGCCATGGATCTCACTGCGTAACGCTATTTTGGGTTCACATCGCTCGGCTTCTTAGCTATTTGCTTTTGCAATCAGAGATGTCGTCTGTTTGCTTATGATTTGCGTTAGTTTTTGCATTCTTGGTTCGTCTGATGAGCTTGCTTCGGCTGTGATTCTTGGTTTTTGGTTCTATTGTGATAAGCTCGAAAAGATCAGCACATCGAAGTTGGAATAGCGGCCGGTCACAGTACCTGTGAGGCAGCTGATCTCGTTGGGGATGGGGTGTGTGGCGGCGCACTGGCAGGTGCCGGAGGTGCTGTTGCAGAGGCCATTCCGCACCTGCTGGCAGTCGGCCGGCGCCGCGCACGGGCTGCCGATCTTCTGCACCACGCCTGCGCCGCAGAGGTCGGTTGGGGTCACGGGTGCCCGGTCACATCGCACTGGGGCTGCCACTGGAGGGCGGCACCACACCGCAAAGCACCTATATGAACGGTGGTATGTCGAACACTGTAAGTTACTGAACAAGCTGGCAGCACGGCTGCCGCTACAACTCGCGCATAGTCGGAGGGATACGCACGGCGTCAAATTGCCGACGAGGGACGTGTTCACCGCCACAGGTCACCAGCGGGCTGCGTCATGGTTGACCTCCACTGTAAAGTTACGAGAAAAGGAGCATCCATCGTTCCGTCATCGTGGAGCGACAACACTACGCCACAGCACGTCATTAAGAAAGTGGCAACGTATCCCCATCCAAGTCAGTGGTGAATGGCAACGTGTTTACCACCGGGAAGTAACTGCCTGAGCCATGAATGCACCATACTCACGGCTAGGTACTTAAGTGCTATAATATTTAATGTGATGGGCGCCGATATCTCTAGGAACATCAACAATGCTGAGAAAACTCATGCCACGTGTCTGATCATACTCCGTGGCGGAGTTTTGGCGGAGGGATCATGAGGGTTTGTTCCATTTGCTTGCCACGGAAAGCCATGAATAAATGATTATTGACTGATCGTGTACATATGCAGCCTTTTCACGTGGTTAGCTTAGCACTGCTCATTTCCAGATGTTTGACTATCGTGCACGCGACGAAGGCGTGTTGGTTTCTTGAAATGATTATTAGCCTCTAAGGTCCGCGCGATGGCGAGATATCAGTTAATCTTATCCTCGTGCTCTGTTCGTCATTGTTGCTTTAGGTCGCACCGCGGCTGAAGGGATCATTTTGCATTCACTATCCTCATCCCCATCCAAAGTTGCAGCGGTACACTCTGACAAATTTTGGCTGTGCTTGCTTTCCCGCGGTTGTAATTGGACGGGAAAAGATCATATAAGTTACAGAGTTAAGTACGCTTCGTTGGCACCTTTTTACTGTCAACCTGTAAGGAGTAAGAACTAAAAAGTTATGTTTAACAGTGTGACATACCTGGTTCGGTACATTTCGTTTCTTTGAATGCCTGTTATTAAAAATTCGGTACTACAAAAGCTATGCAATCGATTTATCCAGTTCTCATCGGAATAAATCAGCTCAAAACATAAGCCTGCAGAATACACGCATTACGTTGCTCAAGTACGCATGCTTATCACAGGTATCACAAGTGCTCGTACTAATAGACAGCATGGGCTGAGCACGGTATCAGCACTAGAGCGGGACAGCACGGGTCATGTGCTGCGTCATAGCCCTCTCCATCACCGACGCGGCACACTTTCCCCGGGGCCCCGTCGATGGGTGCGGGGTCGCCGGCCTGGCTGCCGTCGCTGCCGCCGCCGCCGGCCATTCCTCTCGGGACGGGCCGGCTGGCCCGGGCGGGTGGCGATGGGCGGTGGCGGCGGTCAGGCCGGGCCGGGCCGGGTCAGACGCCCTGACTGACCCGGCAGGTTCTCCGGCGCCGGCCCCGCCGGCGGTACGAGGCCTCTCCGGCGCCGGCCCGCCGGCAGAAGGGCCGAGCCGGGCCAGCCGGGTCGCGGCAGACGTGCGTGGCGTGACCAAGCCCGGCCAGCCGCGCGATAAGGCAGCGGTGGCGCGGCGTATCGACCGAGCCGCGGCGCCCGGCGCCGCCGCCGGCCTCCGGCGATCCGGCCTGCCCTCCAGCCCACTGGGACGACTCTCTCGGTGCCGACTCCCAGCTCACTCCCCAAGCGCGGCGGCCACTCGCGTCCGAAATTGAGCCTTTTGATTTCAGGGCCAGTCGCGAGGCAGGGGGGACGTGATGGAGGGAGGGGGCGTGGAAGGCGGCGACGACCCGGCCGACAGACACCATTAACAGTTGACACGCACTCCGGACTTCTGACTTCGAGCGGGAACTCGTGGCACGACGCGTTGTGGTCAGCGGCATGTCGAAGCTGGAAGGCCGCGCGTAAACTTACGCGTTGGGAAAGGCAAAGCGGAGTCTTTAACAAACGATGCTCCCGATAAGAGGGACACGTGCCGTAGGTGCACCAGACAGATGTCGGCGGACTGAAAGCTGGTCCAAATGATATCAATAATTTCAAGATGCAGTTAGTACGCCTTGATTTTAACATAAGCCACTGCAGTGTGTTTATGGATCCTCTTATGATTAAGTCGTTCTTCTGGTCTCCAAACGAGCGCCACATCTTGAAAACTACTCGGTGTCCGAGGGAATCTTTTCAGGCCATTCCCACATTCAGGAAAGCTTGGATAACAAACGTCTGGATATGAATAACGCATCTATTGTGCTGAAATGGGGATCCATAGCTGCCCCGTTCAAAACGCCCGATCCATTTGTCACCGAACCTGATTTCAAACCGTTTGCATCCTTTCCACCAGTCATCGCTAGATCCGTTATCCGTCGCCATTAAACGGTTGTGAGATAATGCAACTCGTGTGATTTAAAATAGAGATTACTGTGGTTTGGTACAAATTGAACTAATCTAAACCTAACATGTGTTTCCAGTCTGGCTTGTCCGATTTGAAGCAGTCATTTTGAAAAAAGTTTTCTGAGTTGTCCGATTTTTTTCACGAGTTATGGAAGTTTCTTATTCTACTTTTTCTCAATATCAAACTATCTTCTTCGGCCTGGTCTTCTTTGGTAAGGTTTGGTTTCATTCAACTGCAGCAGCGTATTTCTTTCGGACTTCGTGTGACAATTTCCTTTCGTAATGAATTGCGTGTGTGTTTAGTACATTAAACTGAAAAATGCGTGGTTTTTCAACAACGCAGCGCAACCCAAAAAGACCGGGTCTTCCACACATGACTTTAATTCCGACCTGGCCCACAGCACCGAAGCCCAGCCACTGCACGTCATGTTTATGGTTCAAATTTCAAATATCTGGGCCGACCTTCATGAAGTATGTACCTGCTGTACTGTTTCCACACGATTCACCTTAACTCATAACAAATAATTTGGAAAAAGATATGTCCGACGGAGAAAAGCTTTTAGATATTGAATCCTCTCGTAAATGTATTCTGCTATCTCATTGTGACGGTGTGACATTTTGCATTGCGGCATAGCGGGGAAGGCATGCCACCAGTGACAGCAATTTACTTTGTAGTTCGTATATACTTATGCATATATATATATATATATATATATATATATATATATATATATATATGTGTGTGTGTGTGTGTGTGTGTGTGGTGTGTGTGTGTGTGTGTGTGTGTGTGTGTGTGTGTGTGTGTGTGTGTGTGTGTGTGCGTACAAAACGTGGAAACGTCACCCTAGGAACTTTTTCCCTTCATGTTGAAATCATCCGCTGTCATGTTCCAATGTTTAAACAGCTCTTCCTTCATCCAAGCCATAGACTGATTCCCACCACGCCTTCTTTCGTATTAATACAAGTGATCTCTTAATTTGACAATAACCTATCTTATCTTCTCCTTATCTTATCTATCTAACTTACCTAATCTTATGACAATAAGCTATTTTCATTGTAACCAGAGGTGCAGGTTAAATGACACCATGGAACAAACACCGCCAACATTGACAAAACTCACTAGTGACCGTGAACACTGAAATGTGCACTTGAAAATGCATGACGTGACACATGAGCACTTGGAAATGCCGAGCTTTGTAAATGTAACCAATGCTTGGTTCGTAACGTCGTTTAACCAGCACCTTCTGATATAATGAAAGTAGATTATTGTCAGGACAATGGCTCGCAACGCATAGTCCTTCTAATCGTCTACTAGCCAGCTCACTGATGATTCATCCAGCATCCAGCCTTATACAGCTTAAGGCAACAACATTTATCTATTACTTCGAACGGAATTGGAATGAACCGACCATCGTCTACCCATCAACTTCATTTTACTGACCAAGTGACTTTGCAACTGTCGCTCCTTCACAATTTGGCACCGCACATTCGGTCACGCAGTGGCGGTACCAGGCCAACGCTTTCGGCAGTCAATCGGCTGCGCCAAAGTGTATCTAATGTATTGTTAGTGGCACGCTTTTCTTCCATTTCGAGGTAAAATCAAGATTACAGATTGCAAAAATTATATACATGACACTCACTCTTTATACTGGTCTAATAATTTACACACACAGGTATATATATGCATATATATATATACATATATATATATATATATATATATATATATATATATATAGAACTTGCTTTCTACAAACCCATCGTATCTAGCTTGCGTGCTATAACTTGCTTTCTGCGTTTATTTCTGCGTGAATCGTTCCCGCGATGCACAAATTGCGTAAACCGCTTGACGCTCCGTTTTTCTGGGGACTACCTACGTTGCTTGAGGCCAAATACAAGCGACGACACGCGGAACATTCTGCCGTATTAAAGGTAGAGTTAAGACGGGACATCCAGTTCGACAGCCACATGCATATCTATAATCTTCCAAATGCATCATAAAGTGGGTTAGCAAAAGTGACGCTAATGGCGCTTCCACCTTACTTTGCACGAGTTTTTAACATTAAAAAACAGAATTCATTTCTGACATCAAAATTTGCGTTTTTTGTGTTTGCTCTGAAACTGTGTAAGACTTACGCAAGTTGTTTGTTGCATTTGCGAGGATATTATTCACATAGATAAGACTTTAGTAATAGCCTCATTCCTCGGAGAAAAACCAGGAGAATGGTGATATAGATGTGTTGATATTTCGGCGACATGCCTTATCAAAACAATAGCAAAAGTGAATTCAAAATTTTGAACTTATATTTCAAGTATTGATTATATTTTGCAGAGACTGATAATACAATCGTTACAAATTGATAACCATCAGAGCCCTCACATCCTAACACTTGATAGTCGGTCATATGTTCAGGCACGCAGAAAACACAGGCGTTATATTTTGAATTATATTGCAATTTATCTACTTTGAAGATTTATATTTCAGCTGTCCGCTTCCGATATGTGTATGATGCGCACATTCGAAGCCTTTGTCTTATGATTTTTGTCTATAAAAATAGGTTTGGCTATAGGAATAAATTTGTTTTCAACACTGACGCTTCAGAAAATATCCCATATTTGGGAGCTTTGTACTCTAGCCACTATTTTCAATTTTGTATTAATTTTTGTTAGTTTAGAAATAGAGTGGTCGTTGTAACCAACCGAACGATGTTCGTCCAATCAAGACTGAACATGCGGTTCTTGATATCTGGGGGGGGGGGGGAGGGGCAGAATCTGCACCGTGTATGTTGATGAAAATCCCACA